AGCACGAACCCTGCACAATGAGGTTGCGCAATGCGGCTTCGATGCTGCGCGTGCGCGCCCGGCAGCCTGACATAGCGCGTACTGCGTTCACAGACCATATTGCTCGACACCAACGAGCATCGATGCAACACAGCCTCTCTGCAAAGCCCTGTGGAGAAACCTCTCGCTTCGCGGGGCACCATTCGACTCAGCCTTATACCCTCGCGTGGCGACATCTTACCGCATCGTGGAGCACCACTACACAGCTATTTACTATTACGCACCCTTCCCATCAGCCACCCACCATAGCGTGACGTCCATCCCTGGCAGTACCGGCGGCTTCGACGCAACGCGTGCAGGCCTGTAATCCTGACACAGTGCGTGTAGCTGTGGTTAACATGCGAGCGTTTACGCATTGCGACTTTTACGCGCGCCTGTTTTCACACACCTTTACACAAACAAGCGTCGACGCAACGTAGCCTCTCTGCAGAGCCGGGTGGCACAATCTGATCGCAACGGTGTTCCTCTTGAGCCTTCTTGTGCTCTTTGGCTTCGTTGTTTTCATCCATGACTGACCAAAGGGGAACGTTCCTGAAACACCGGAGACAGTCCCTCACCAGAAAAGGTCCCGACCGCTACCCGGTCCGTCTCTACCTTTCGTGTTTCCCCGCTCAAGTTTGCAAGATAGAATGCCAGAGTATGTGCCAGATAGAATGCACGGTTTTATGCCACATACATAAATTGCCAGAAAATGCCAGATAGAATGCAAAAAAATTCTCAAATAGAGTACCAGAATATATGCTAGATAGAATCCAACAACATATACTGCCTAAAATGCCAGAATATATACCAGATGGAGCGCCTCAACGTATGCAAGATAGCATGCCAGACTGTGTCGCGTGCTCCCCCGACGTCAGGATTGTGCTCGCGCAGGCGCAGGTATCTCTGTGAGTGTACGGGGGGGGGGTAAACCCTGACCCTTCCTTGCCACGCAAAACGTACTGGCTTTAATTTTGCTTGAGACCTAGCGGCTGACGAAGAGCATGCGGTTGGCAATATTGGTTCATGATGGCGATGATGTTTACACCTTGTCCCCATCAGGGCTCTTCAATGCTTCGCAAGCTTTGAATGATACAGATTTGCCGTTGGGATTGATTCAACTTTAAATTATGAAAAGCAATCGGGCTAGAGCTTACTAGTCCTGCGAATTCGTGCCAGCTTGGTTTGAGACGCGCGGATCTCCAGGCGCAGAAGCGCCTGCGTGGAACCTGGAACGCTGGTTTTTGAGACAAAAGACAGCCTTCCTTGGAGCACATCCCTGTGGACAAAAACCTGCTGTGCCCGTGCGGTCAATACTTCAACATGGTGGTGTTCAGTCTGTGGATGATGCCCAGAACGAACTACACTATACTGCACTCCCTCTTTTTGGTATTTTTTTTGGACACCCGATAGTTCTTCCAAAAATGTTGGTCTGGTCCAGCAGATACCCCCACTATTGCTAATCTCGGACATATGGAACTGTGCAATGATCTGGCAGATTTGCAGTGGGTTGCAGTTGACGAACCGGACGAACCTCATGACGTGCGAGCTGCTGGAACAGGAACCTGTAGAAACTGCTGGTGGCCGAGCCGTTTGGCGACGGCAGCTTGCTGCGCGCGGCTTAACGCTCAAGGGGTTCCGGAAAACATTCTGAGAGGACCACTGCGAACTCATGTCAGACCCCTGTCGTAGCGAAGGATGAGCAGCGGCCCTGGTTTCTGACACTCAGCATGAAACCGGTCAAACGTTGCTGATTTCATCCGTTTTGACGGGTACATATTTCCCGCGAGGCAGCTTGTCAACCTTTCAAAGGTTTATTCCCTGAAGCCCCTAACATTGTTTCAATCAAGTCAGGTCCTGTGCAGATGATTGGCTTGGAGGGACTAGATTGCACAAAATAACGCCGCTTGCTGCCTGCATGGTAACAATGCCGAAACTCCAGCAGCAGGAAAACCACACAGCTGAAGATCAACCAAGTCCCACCAAATCGGCCCAGGCTTGAGCGAGAGATCCTCAAACCGGCGGAGCGCGCAGGCGTTGCACGTCCCGAGGGAGGGGCCACCAAGGTACAGCTAGGGTGTGACTCGGTCAGTCCACGTCAGATCGTTGTAAACTGACCCGAAGTCGGTTTACCTACCACAATTCCCTTGGTTTTTTAAGCACGGGCCACCGCCTTGTTGTTCCCCAAACAGATATGTGCTATGTGTTCATGTGTGTGCTCCCACGCGTGTCTTTATGTGTGTTCTCCAAACCTCCGGCCCGTAGACTTAGAACTGTGGACTCAAACCTAAACCTGGTCACCCCTACCCCCACCATCACCATCACCATCTCCACCACCGCCGCCGCCACCACCATCATCACCACCATCACCATTCTCACCACCATCACCATCACCAACACCACAATCATCACCAGACCACCATCACCACCACCACCACCATCACCACCGCCACCATCATCACCACCTGTAGACCTTAGGCCCTAGACCTTTAGATACACTATGATACACTGCTGTTGTTTTTTCCGGGATATCACCTACACCCCACGTGCTTCCACGTGCGTTGGCACCAAGCCGTTGGCACCTGGAGGGCTGAAGGACTGGCCGGATCTTTGTCCCTTTGCTCCTCAACGTGACCTCTGGGCTGGGCAGGAGTGGACCGTCGCGCTGTTTCGGGGGTGAAGACAACACCAATAAGGGTCGGTAGGTGCGGTGTTAGGTCGAGCGACACAACGCACGAGAGACGAACGGTCATGACATTGAACGGGCTTTGTTGTGTCTTCATTTCGTGTATTGTCAATATCTATAATTGTATCTCATTGTTTGAGGTCGGTTTATATTATATATATTCAAAACAATTAGATATATACATGCGATGATTACCTTTCCAAAAACACAACCACCGCCCGCCAAATTCAGACAACCAACTGTTGGGTAATGCCCCAGGTTTGTTGATGCATCATGTTGACATATATCTATATAACTCTTGTTAGTTCAAAACAGTTCAATTAAGGAGTCCGGGCCCTCCGGGCACCAAGTTTCCCCGTTAGAGCGCGCACGTTCGTCGGTTTCTTCGTCGTCCAACGTCCGGTGTCCCACGTGGTGAAGCCGCACCGCAAGGAGAAACACAAGACGCGAAAACGCAGTGCAACGGGCATGTGGACCTGCGGCTATTGCCAGAAGGCCCCGGTGGCGAATCTGGTGCTGCGTTTTGTAGGACTACAAACACAACAAGACTTGTGGCCGGGACTGGTATACATTCACCGGCTTTTGAACCCCCGCCTTTTTGTATAATAGTACCAGACAGGTCGTGTGTGGGGTATGGGTGGCCGCTGCCTCCGCTGCCCTGTTTCACTGCTTTCGGATCTGAGCTGTTCCGATCTGTTTTCGGGTTCACCACAAGTTAGGGTTTCGGACCTGAATCGTTCCTGCCCATCACTGACCACGCGGTCAAATGTCATTTAATGCCCTGAAGAACTCTCTTTGCGCCGAGTCTCAATGAGTTGGCGCCTTCTCTCTCAGAGACTCCTTTTACAGACCCTTTTCGCGTGACCAAAGACCTTCCTGCCTTCCTCGTGGAAGGCGAGGCGGATAACCCATGCTTTGGTTACAGTAATTATTTCGAGGTGGGTGTGACCTTCCAACATAATTTCCACAATATAATACTTACGACTCCCAACTATTTCAGTCAGGTGAGTGGTGGGCGGGGGCAAACTAATTACAAACATAAATAAATATGACAATTCAATAAGGGAATTCCTGGAAATAGACACTCGTTCTTGCAAGCAGATAATGGTTTTAGAGGGGGGAGGGTCACAGACCACCTCCAAAATAGATTTGTGAGTTGATTGATGTGATGTGTGGATTTGAACTTTGTAGCTCAAGTATGCTGTGGCATTGAGGGTCACAGGTTCAGGACTCAGAATAGATCAGATGTATGGCCATGGATCCACATGTTATGTTGTTCAATGACCGCTTCTTTATTTTCACGCTTTATGGCTGTTGGAAACAAATTCCCCAGGACCCCCCCGTCAGAGTCTTCCAAATCTTCCAAGTTTGGAGGTCTTATACAAAACCAAAAAGACTCATCAAATGATTTCAGAGGGTATGACACTGACACCCCAGGAATGTGTACAACAGAGGTGGTGTGACCACCTCAAAATGACTTTTATGATTTTTTGAGGTGGGTGGTCCCCAGGTGGTCTTAAGGCAAGGGATATCGAGGCGGCGAGTTCGCCCCACCTGGCGAGTTGGCGAGTTGGTCATCGGTTTTTCTCCGCTACGATCCGGTGAGGTCTTCAAGAGCGAGCATTACTTGGACTTGCACCTGGAACGGCATCACATGGCAGAGGCTCAGAGATAGAAACACACGTTGTTTTTTGTCCGGTGTTTCTGGCTTGCTGCGAGGGTTTGGTGTGTCGTTTCAATGCTCGACTTGGCTTGGGGAGTGGGGAAAGGTGAATGAGGTTTCCAATGAATTGAAGAAGCTGCCCAACTGCTCATCACCCAACTTCTCATCTTTGGGACACTTAATGACACTAGTGAGGCACTTCCTCCCGCCTTTTCGCACGTCACGTCTGGCCACGGTCTGAACCGGTGTTCACACGTGTGACCGGGTTCTTTCGCCTGGCGACAGCGCCGGGATTTTGGAGGGGAAGAAGGGAAAGACACCATTCAAAGGTGTTTGATGTTTCAGCAACCAACAAGGTGGTTTCAGGGGGCCGAAGTTCGGCCGAAGAGCGAAGAATAAGCAGGGTTATGGAACATCTCTCCTTCTAAGATCCAGTTGCGCAAAAAGAACAAGTGACCACAACATCTAAGTTTTTCTGGCCACCATTGGTATTTGCAGAAACCACATAGTTATATTGATAGGCAGTATCATTGACACATGTGTAGAAATCTCAAGCAAATCGCCAAACACAACTTCCCTGCTTCTAAGTCTTAACCTCTTTCTTGGCGGCTTCCTCGCCGCTTCCTGTTCTGCAGCTGTTTGGCTGAGCTGAGCTGATTCTCCCGCCGTTTTGTGCTGAGACCTTGCCGCGAGAATGGCGCGGCAAGTCTTGGTGGATGAGGATGAAACCCTTTGCAACCAATTTGAAACCCACGTGAGTTTACGCAGTATTTGGGAGGTGCTTGAGATTAGTTGGAGCGCTTTGATTCTGAGGAAGTATGTAACACGCATCCATTTCAAACATGTACGGTAATATGCAACTTCAAACATCCCTCTCAATTAGTGTGCAGTTTCCGCTGTTTCGTAAGACGACCTTCATCTGGGTGGAACGCGAGGAGCTCTCACAGATGTCCACCGAGGAGGATCTGGAGAAAGTGGAGGTCAGCTGCTCTGGTGGCGATGTTGAAGGTTTCTGACTGTTACATCCCCAATTACTCCATGTATGGTCTATTTACCTACATTGGAGTGGTTTGGGATCTAATTCCTGAGTTTTTTTTCTGGCTGATTACGGCTGGTTGAAGCAGACGTCTCAAACTCGTAGCTTCTTGAAACATATTGAAATTGCTCTTCCAGCAGTTCCAAAGGAATGCTTTTGCGTCATTAAGTGAGTGGATCTTCTGGGCAGTTCTACCCTCCAAGTTCAGCAGCTTTCCTCATGGAACTCCATGAGGGGGAGAAGTCAGAAGATCTTGGTCCCTGCACCATCTACCCCTATGGATCCACCATACCTTCTGAGAAGGTGATTGGATACATTTGGATACTTATTTAGGTAAGCATTGGAAAGCCCCAATCATTTCTGAGAAGGTATATGATGTATATGTGAATCCGTACGTAGGTCACTGTTGCATCACCCCCTGAACCATCGATATCACTCACCCCCTTCATCACTGTAGACTGTTCCACCTCCTCGATCGCTCGCTTGTGCACCGATGCTGCTCAGGAGAAGGCTGCTTGGAGGGAAAGGTACATCGTGCCCTTGGTTCCTCGGACGCAGCGCGGAGCTCGAGGGGCAGACGATGGCAGTAGCGCGGGGAAGCTCCGAAGCGATGGTTCTTTTTTTGGGGTCATTGGGGGGGATCAGCTCGGCTTCACATGACGTGCTTAATCTTGACACAGCTTCACATAGCTTCACGTAATTTTGGCGGAGTTGCTGGACAACTATATATTGTCATATCAGCTTATGAGCCTTTTTTTGTGATTCAGCCCTCGAAGTCTATTTCAGAGAGTGAGGAAGGCATGGCATGCAGTGGTGAACGCACCGCGGCTGCTCCGTCCGGTCAACACCGGGTCAGCCTGTGCCATCCGGTCGCGGTCGCGGTCGCCGTCCCTTCAGGTCTTCGTGGGCTTCATCATCATTCGCGCCCTGGACCGGGGGACGCGCGTGAGACCGGAAGGGAGGCCGCATCCGATGGCGCCCAGCATGGCAAGGGTATTTTTGTTGAAGAGTCAGGATGAAGGGATGGTGTCTACCAAGACCCGCATAATTGGGTGTCTATTGAAGAGGCCTATAATAGCGGTTAAGACTGAAGCGGTGTCCAAAAACCACCTGTTGGAAGAATGTCATATTTAAGTTGATCATGATATATGGAGCTTTTCGTCAATGTTGTGCCGAGTTATGAGCTTGGAAACATTGAAATTACCATTTCACCTGCCAAACAAATGTAAGGACATTAAAGGAGGACCCTCAGAAAGGTTGACATCATTGGTTTGCATACAGGGGCTGTCTTCGCACATGGGGTATGCCTTACAACAACCACCCATTTTATCCCAATCTTGGCCTATGAAGTATTATACCAGATACCCAAATCATCCCAAATCTACCCCAGTTCCTCCTTAAAGAAGGAACCCGTTTGTATAGCCACGTGTCCCCCCGCAACAGGCCCGAAAAAAAAGGATTCGCCACCTGCAGACCGCCACGTGTCTTCGCTTCTCTGCGACCTGTTCTGCGCTGCCGAGAGGACCGGATCTTCCTGTATCGTGTCCAGAAGTCCATGGCCGACTACACGGTGCGCCCGCGGTCCGCCGCGGCGTTCTCCGCGGCGTTCGAAGGGACGTCGGTGGATCGAAGAAGAGGAGCTCCAATGAAGGAAAACGAGAGGGCACCGTGGCTACGAGTCATGTCATTTTGTTGGGGCACCCAATTAATAAGGCAGTACATTGGTTGGTCAATCATGACAAAAAGTATGTGCATAAATCCAAGATCTTTGGGTTTGAGAGATGAAGACCAGGATGAAAAAAATATCCCGAATTCGTGATGTGCATGCGGACCCCGGCGGCTTTCTTGACCAGGCGATCTTGATGAGTATCTATTGGCCCCCTATGGTGCAGGCGCTCGTGGAAGCCAGAGGTCGACCGGATTTTCTCAGAGAAATCCGATCATGTAATTTTTTTTTTTTTTATATGAAGGTTATTAATCAAGAGAGTCTACATGGTCCAATCAATCATGCTAGATATTAGGCAGCGTACAGCCCTGATGTGTGTGTGTGTGTGTGTTTGTGTGTGTTGTTTTCAGGATTGATGTTTGATGTGTGTACTGTCCCAGTGATAGACCGTTTGCAGAGGGGACAGCATGTGCCACCAATGAATGAATCCATATGTTTTTGTTTGTTTAATGATTAGATGGAATATGCACATACTAGATGGATTTGTTGATATTGTTTGTTTGTTTGTTTAATGATTAGAAGAAGCAAGAAGCACAGAACAGTATTATCGTGTGTTCTTTTCATGGTTCTTGGACGGCTGCAGCAACAGCCTAAAAATAGATGTAGCGACATGTCGCTATTCAGAAACATATAGTTTGTTTTGTTTTACCTTTCATGGATTGTTACATTGGGTTTCACTGACCAATTGGTGAACCAATTTATGAACTAAACCTTTTGCGCTCAGATGCCGGGAAGGTAAACATACAGATGGTGACCTGGCGGGCCACTGTGGAGACCTTTTTGCGGGGTGCTGCGTCTACCCACTAGAGCCAATTTGGCATCATTCTGGATCATATGTCATCGTTGATCCGACAAGCCAGAGGTCACTCAGGTTATATATGTTTGTCATCATGTGGTTTTGGGGGTCAATGTAGGCATATATGGCATACATGGAGTTCCTGGGTTATATAGTTCCACAGGTTGAACAACCTCATCCAAGCTTTTGGTGACCGTCAACACGGCCACGCGGCGCAGAGCGCAGTGGGTCCGAACCAGGTCGGGTCGAGGGACCGCCAGGTGATGTGTTTCTTCGTCTCCTTGGGCTATGTCTTCAACAAGCGCCGGAGCCGCGCGGTTTCGGAAAGCAGATCATGTCACTGTCATTGTCTTTAAGCCATTTTAGTTGCTGTTCTAAACCGAAGACTGCGCAAGCACCAGGAAATACCTTGAAGATAGAGATTTGCAGGGGGGTCCTTTGATTTTGGGATATTCACATCCAGATACTCTCGATGTATCAGTTCTCTGGACAATCTTAAGAACACCTAGACCCCCTATAATATATATATATATATATTATATATACATATATCAATGAACTCGTTGCCCAGTTTGGACAGAAGAACTATTCAACTTCCAATTGAAGTAATATCATGTATACTATCGTATTCCTCGGTCAGCACTGGAAGAAAGAACAACGTATACATCACGGCTGGACTGGTGTGGACCAGGTCTTTTGACACGCAACCGAAGACCCTCCCCTTGTTGTTTGGGACGCCGCACAACAACGACCGATCCGACTCTTCCAAAACCGCGCGGCCAACGCGCGTGGCGAGGTGACAAGTCCTTCGGCCTCTCCTGGTTCTCGCCCTTCAGCGAACGCGCCTCCACCCAGGGAGCGGCGCCTCGACCGCAGCGGGCGCGAAGCACGGACGCCTCTGACCTGCGTTGACGTCCGTTCTACCTCTGACCGGCTCAGACGAGCGACCGCGCGGACCGGCCGGTTGGCCGGTTGGCCGGTAAGGTCGATGGCACCGCGCGGAACGCGAACATCAGTCGCTCTCCGTCGGTCCGGCGTTCCGGCACCTAAGCGGCAGGTCCCGCAGAAGTGGATCGCGCAGTTCGCGCTCTACGACCAGATCAACGCCATCGTCAGTGCGCCGCCCTCGCCCTTCATCCCGCTGGTCTTGCAGACGCCGCGCGGCGACGGGATGGGGCGAGGGGACGAGGGGACGACGGAGCGCCTCTTGTGGGTTCGGAGGGGAAGGGAATGGTTCGGGGTGGTGGAGGCTTCGGGGTTGGGAGGGGCCAAAACCTCGGAGAGGTGCCAGGAGGTGCAGGATGTGGCAGGTGAAGGGTGGCGGGTGGAACTTCAGGACCTCACCTTGGGAGATGGAGAAGTCTTCGTTTGGTGATTGAGAAAGAGAGTCACCAGCGAGTCCAGCAGGTCGGGAGATGCCGTGAAATGCCATGCTTTCCAAGGTCTTTACAAGGTCTACCAGGTCTACCGACTCTACAGGTCACCAATGGTTCGACCAGGTCAACAGGGTCCCAACCCTCAACTAACAGCCTGGCCAGAAGTCGGGTGCTGGTAGTTGAATTTAACCATCAACTCTCAGAATCCTTTTTTGGCGATTGAAGGGGCTGCCCTTGGGCAAGGCAACCATGCAGATGGGCGTTGGTCACTAGCCAAGACTAAAGGTTTGTGACAACATCTCTGGAGTATCAGAGTAGCTGTGCTTTTGTCGCATCGTGTGTGAGTGCAACTTGAGGCCACTGAACAACTTAGTGGTGCTCTTCACTGCTTTGATCGCCTATTTCTACCTGAAGACCCGCTTCAAGATGGTGCACTATGCAGGCACAAACCTGCACGTTCCACGGGCAGGTTTCCCTGCACGTGGGGGCTCATGGGACAGGACATGGTTGCTTCGATGCATCATTCTGATGACCAGCGAGCCATCAACTGTTAATATCCAAGGGTGTGACAAAGCCACATACTCGTAGCTTTCAAATGTATTTTTTTAAACAACATACAACCATTCGATACCATAGGGGCTCACCAAATATTTGCTACATCAACATGCCAGTAAACCCAACAAACAATGTTTGTTCATGATTTGACGCCATCCCAGATCATGCCCACCCCGACCCTGAGTTCTGCATGGAATCTGTACTTACATGGACAACCACCCCAATGGAAGTCAAGGCCCCTGAACAATACTGGAAAGCATGTCACTCTTGCATGCTTTTAGACACTCATTGCCAGGAATCATGCGCCACACACACACACACACACGGAGTTTTGACCATCAACAATACCTCTAAACTTACAAGCGTGGCACTCAGAAGCCAACATATGGGACTGTATCTCACTCTACATTGCTGGCAGCGCATTGGATGTGTCAATGCAGGTGTTGAATTTGTCCATGCAAAAAAACACAAACCATCATGTAGACTCTTGATTAATATACCGTCATATACCCTCCCATTTGAAGGGACATCCTTTTCATATGGGGGGGTTATAAATCAAGAGTCTACATTAAGTGTTCACATCCCAAAGCATTTAAAATGATTTGAATCGATTTAGAGGGTACCATGGAACGCAACCCACCTGCTCCTGAAGGCCGCAACACAACAAAGACTCAGGATCACTCATTCCTCATGTCATGCCTCATGTCAGGTAGATGGCAAGTGCATTTGGAAAGGATTGGAAAGGTACCTTTCCCACGCGCCTGTCCAATCCTGCCCATGCCTCAGGCATTTGCATCATCCTTTGCTCTTGCTTAGTGGGAGTTCTGGTGGAGCCACCTGTCTGGAGGAATGAATCGAACACCCCCTCCACATCCCAAACAGACTTCCTTTGGAAGAACGACACGGGTTCCGTTCTGAACGACTGGGAAGGTTCCATCCTTCGACTGGAACCGTCGTCTTTGCCGGAACTTCAGAGACGTCGAGAGGTCCGACTCCATGTCGTCCCGAGCAGTTGGGGTGGTTGAAGAGGGGTGTGGTGATATATGCCATGCAGTCCCATGTGTTGTGTCTGGCATTTTTTGGGGTTGACGCAGAGAGACTAGTCCCTCGGACTCGGAGATCCCGCTGGGATCGGAGACCCTTCTGGCGGTGTGGACGCATGATGGATCGGGGCCAGGTGTGGACGGGGAAGAGGTGCTTTCCTTGTTGTTTCTTCGGCTTCCGAAGGCCAATCCAGGTGAGTGGGTAGACTAAGGTTGCAAGGCCCTGCGCCCATCATTTGCAAGGGTCTTCACGAGGCGCCCGACCAGCGGCTGCCTTTGGGGGGGAATTTGGGCAGTGAATTGTGAAGAGGTTTGATGTGAAGAGGAATGTGAAACAGGAAGTTATGGAAGACCAAGTCTCGCAACTTGAACTGAGTTGTGCAGTGGACTATATCTTGGCAAGAGTGTTTCGTGCAGTAAGTCAAGGCTGGCGGCTGGATATGACTTTGGAGTCTTTCTGATTCTTGATCTATAAGGACATTGCCATGAACACGTGAAAGGCTCAAAGTGGCTCAAAGTAGCCTCAAGTGCCTTGGAGCCTTCAACATTAAGAATTGCTGCATCAATTCGTAGGCATTGAGGAAGCTCTCAAGGAGGTCGATTTTCATGAGATGTGTCCGGGACATCATGACCCATCATGATCACAAAAGAGAAGACAAGGAACGAGCGGGCATCGCCATGCATCACCATCCATGCAGGCAGTTGTTTTTCAATCATGCGTCGACATATTGTTGAAAGACGCTTGCAGAAGCTGAATTCAAAGAAATATACAGATCAACAGCTGTGTCTCACGACTGCTTCACAGCACCACATGACCCATCGCCTTCAGTAGACATCCTTGGGCTCCAACACCTCAAATACCGTGAAGCAAACGGGCCATAACGGGCTGGCAGCCATGACGGCCGAATCCTTTGTGATTGGCTTCTTCACCACCTACCAGTCGGTGATCATCTCATACATCCCAGCTCTGCTTTTTGGGACGCTGCTGGTTTGTTTGGGATTGGTGTCCAAGTGTGGCTGGGAAAGCATGTGCTGGTGATGGCTTGACACACAAATGCTGGCGGTGGCACTTCTGACCGGTACTGCTTATGTGGTCCCCAAATAGATAGAAATGGTTTCCAATACATTTTTAGTGGGGATCTACTTTTCTATCTATATTTGGAGACCCCTATAACTATACTGTAAACTGTGCCATTTTGAGCTGGAAGAGTAGGATTTGGGATGATTGTTACATCGGCTTTGCTCTTTTTCCTGCTTGAACAAAATGCACCTGCAGGTCGAAATGCCGAGACAAGCCTCTTGAGTCTTCTCTCCTTTTGTCAGTCCATCCTCGACCCCTACTCTGACCTGCTCTTCATTGTCAGCCTCTACCGTATGGATGGATGGAGCCCGCTGACATGTATGAGCCTCGGGCATTTACTGAGTACACTACCCGCCAACTGCTGCATGCGTTGATGTTGAGAAAAGAACTTTTATTCTGCCTTTTTATTGTTGACAAGCAAATGATAGACCATGTTGATTCCATTCTCTATTCTTCCGAATGTTTTTCATGGCAACACGAACACCCTGGCCAAGTCGACCAGTCGACCACTTAGGTTTCTTTTTGTACACATTCTTTAGCAGCATCAGGGAGCGCGGTTGGTTTCAAGGACACAGCAACAGCATGCTCCTTCCTCCGGTGGTGGTCATGAGCATGTTTGGAGTGGAAGCATTGGTGATACTGCGAAGTCATCTTCTGAATATATCAGTTTTCAGTTTCAGACCGTACCTTGGCCAGTAGTCACCATGGGTCTCGATTTTAAGGCGGTTTCTTTGTTTGTCTCCACAGCTTCTATGTGTTTGCTTCAATCTTTCTGTCTTTGTGTTTGATTGACAACATACCAATAATGTTCGTACATTCTGTTGAATGTTCGCACAACCAGGTACGATATCGACAGCCTCATGCTTCGTGCGAAGCTTTTCGCCCTCTATGAATCAGTGCCACAGCTAATCTTCCAAGTCTTGGCATTGATGATGAACGAGGGTGATGTGCACTTCACCTGGATATCTTTGGCGCTCTCTGCCCTAAGCATGCTCCTGGTGGTCGCCAAGGGCATTCTATTGGCAGCTTCAGGAGATCTGGATGTTCCAGCCAACTACGTGGAGCTGGCATTAGATGCCGATGTTGAAACATTGGAAGTGCAGGACCCTACCACAAGGCCAAGCGTACCTGGTTTGCAGCAGCTTCCTGAGTCTGCCCTCAAAGGCACATTGAAGCCGTGGCGGGCATTGAGGAAAACCAACTTTGACATTCCCGGTCGCTATTCTTTCCAAGATTCAACTTTGGCAGGCATATTGGCAGACTCCCACACCAATGGAGAACGCTTGTTGCTGTCCTTCTTCTCAGAAAACAATCTCGGGGTGCTAGCTGGTCCAGATTTGCGGAAGTTCATGGAGGTAAGGCATTGCACCCCAGACGATTTTTGCCGAAAGTCCTTGGAGATTCTGAAGGACTTTAAGACCGATGCCATTCTGGGCTTGCGTGTCCTGCAGCCGTCGAGGTTTGCAGGGGGCAAACTGTTGGTGCGATTCCCTATGCCTAAGGAAAACAATAGCACCCTGAAGGTGGATGTGGGTCGTGCGGAAGTCGGTGGGCAAGAGTTCAGTTTCGATTCATCCTCACAGAGGCTGGCTCTTAGCAAGGACTCCACGGTTTCACGCCTGGTGGCGGAGGTCAAGTGCCGGGTGTGTTACCCCGCGCCTTTCCAGTTCACTCTCCTTCCGGCGAAGTCTGTGACACCCATTGCGCTCCTCTCTTGCTTGCCCGACCGATTGCAGCTCAAGGACGAAGACGATGATGTGGAGTGGTTTCCGCCACGAAGTATTGACCAAGTACGGTGGTTTGTCAAACCATCCGACCAAGTCGAACTGCAGGTCGACGATGTGATTCAAGTGGGCAATCAAATCATGTGCATGGTTGATTTTGTGAGTTCTCCAACTTTTGAGACACTGATGAAGTTGTATGGAGAGCCTGAGCTGCACACCAGATGTGACAAAGTCTGTCCTCACAGGGTGGCAACGGAAGAGTATTGGGACCAGCTCCTAGAGAGACATTGGCCAGGCTATCGGCATGTTGACCCAGCTTTGAACGCCATACTGCAAAGGGTGTGGCAGGAACGTGTTAAGCTCAAGCGGCTTTATCCCTGCATGTATGATGATGACGAAGAGTGTGGTGATGATCTTGATCAGATGTAAATAGCTATATATATAGTTTCAAATTAGTTTCACTGTGCTTGACTAATCCTGCGTAGCAGGACTTTTGACGCAAACATGCGGAGAAGAAGCTTGGAATTGATCAACAAGTTCGACAGATGATATGAGGTTTTCTCATGAATCTTTTTTCACAACTGTCACACACAAAGATGGTGTGGTGAAAATAGGGAAGACACAAACAATGAGAAGTACAATTCCGCGCCCCCCCCTGCACCACCACGTTTGATGAGCTCCCCAGAGACCGGGAGGCAGAGGCGGCCTTAGCCAACCCAGCCACTGCGGCCACTGTCTCTCAAGAGACCAGGTGGGGGACCGTGTTGGCGCAGGTTTTGGGACATACGTCGTTTTGGTCTAATGTCACTGATGTCCTTCCCACTGCTTCCAAAACTTGTTGAGTATGGAGCTGCAAGTGAAGCTGCAGGTGAAGACTTCCATGCAGCGGAACTTGTTGAAAGGGAACTGGTCCTGGATGGTGGGATACTTACTTAGAGTTCGCTGCGCAGTTCGGGCATCCGTTTGTCCTGTGAAGTCTTGTTTGCTTCAGTATTGTTCAGGGCATTGTTCCGTTTGATCCGCGTTGTTTGATGCCAGCTCACACACCTGATGGAGATACCGATCCCCAGATCTTCACTACCTCACCACCAAAGAATAGGTTGTTTTCAGGGCAAAACCTCTCCTCATCACCATGAAAACCATGCCCTCGGGACGGCTGTTAGGCATGGTTGCAAGTTTCTAGTGACCCATCGGTGCAGGAGTTTCCTACGTTTCCCCTTGTTGCCCATCAAATCGCCACAGGTGTTTTCTCATTTTTTGGGGTGGACACTCCATGTCTACCGAATGGGCTCACGCAAGAAAATGTGTACGATCTCTCAAGCTTCCCTGACCGGACCGGATGAATGAGCTCGCTCCTCGCTCGATGATGTGTTTTCCCACTCATCGAATGGAACATGTTGTTTGGAACAGATCGACTCTCAAACGCGCCCTGCGCAGTGCCGTGATGCTTATTAATTTGCATTCTGAAGATCCTATCATTTCAATAAAACTCATCCTGTCAACCAACCCACCCCAGTGCCTTGTCACGATCCCCATCCCCACTGTGTCCAATCGTATGGTTCCGCTTCGTCAGATGGTTGGTGGCCAACGCCACAGACGATTGCACGACTGGGCTCCCACCCTATAAGGACGCCGATGGAAAGTGCCTTGGTCGATCAGAACGGTTGGTGGCCATGACACGCCATGAAACTGGCACCAGTATGCCAAAATATATAATATACAGAAAGGAGCGCTCTGAGCGGCGCGTTTTTGCATTGTTTCATTTTGTTTGTATTTTGTTTCTATATTTGTATTGTGTTTCTATTGATTTTTGTGCCACTGAAAGAATCCTATTCTGCCTCAACCCCCCCCTCCCCCAAAGGCAATTTCCAAAATTCCAATTTTCCAAAATTCCAATTTTCAAAAAAACAATTGTGCCAGGACTTTGCCTCACCCCCTCTTCCCCCCATGGTCTGTGCAGAATTGTTTTTTTCCCGAAAGCATTGCGAAGGGTTCTTCCGGAAAATCCTTTGAACACTGACACTTCGACACGTACACTTAGACACACCTAGACATTGACACTTTCACCACACACCTAGACATTGACACTTTCACCACACTGGCAGGATAAATAACATGAACGCTATACGTAGCCCTGTGTAAGTGGAAGAGCGAAAGCTGTCAAAGTATGCAAGTGGAAGTATGTAAGTGTAAGTATGCAAGTGATGAGTATGCATGCAATGATGAGTATGCATGCAATGATGAGTATGCATGCAATGAGTATTGCAAGCATGCAATGAGTAGGCAAGTGAACTAGCACGGGAGATGTCCTAATGAAAAAACATTTCCCCACTTTATAAATTCTCTCTTAAAGGCGGAGGGTGGGACGAACAGCGTCAACCGAAAGTGCAACCCTCTGCGGAGATCGTGCGTGTCGAGTGCGCGAAATGCAGGCGAGAGTGCGATTTGCCGGCTGCGCGCGCAACCCTCTGCGGAGATCGTGCGTGTCGAGTGCGCGAAATGCAGGTGAGAGTGCGATGTGCCGGGTGCCCGCGCAACCCTCTGCGGAGATCGT